TAAAAAACTCAATTGGTTCTTATGAAATTTACGAAAAATTACTTCAAGTCATACAAATTCCCTAAAAGAGCCAAAAAAATGTTCTAAAAATCTAAAAAGTTTTAAAAAATGCTGTATAAAAATTTCATTTTTTGTTTCATTGATGTATGAAATAAATTTTTTTAGGACAGTCATGTCTTAGAAAATGCAGAAAAAAATTAAATTTGTACCTATTTAAATCTGTGCTCTAGTTATAAATAATAATTTCTGACGATGCATTGATGCCGAGGGGAGTGAACGATCAGCCGAACCGAAATCTAATATTTAAACACCGTTTAACCCAATGTATTTATCACATGTTGTGATATGAAAATACAAAATATTTTAAATTTATAGTATGAATATTAATTTTATTATAAATATAAAAAACAAATTATTTGTAAGCAGCTGCAGTGGCCCACCGGGAAAGTTCCCGGTATCTCACCGGCTCAGTCTGCCCCTGATTAGAATATATACTTAATCTGTAAAACACAGTACATTAGTGCATCGTACATGACATATACTGTATAGTCTACCTTTCTCGTGACCGATACGGCAATAAAGTATGTGAAGAACACTATAAGATTATAAAACACTAGAGATAAGTACGGCAAGTAATATTTGTATAATCAATTATTAAGTTATTAAATATGTGGTCTATATTAACGAATATTATTAATATATATATACCTAATTGTGTATAGATACATTTAAAAAAAAAACCTGTGACTTATTTTATTTCGAGGGTTATTGGGTATCTTAATAATTAAAATGTAAGTTTCGAGTATCTAGATACTCCAAATCCAAGTATCTAGTATTGCGATACTGATTTTTGAGTATCTTGCCTTTCCCTGCTTGTAAGTTTATTTGATTTACATTATTTAAATTATTTTTGTCTTCTATGTCACCCTAAATATTGTTTATTGCATTTATTTTTGTCATAGTGATCTGAATGTTACATTATCTGAGGTGACTATGCATAATAATATTAATCCAAGTGAGTGATGTGGAATGAAAGCATGCTTTATTTGCATAATAATTATGATGAACATTGAACACAAAAATTCTGAACATGAAGAGGAAGCTAAAATAATTAATGAATAAAGTAGTTATATTTCTTCCAATCATACTATACAATGTGAATATAATATCAAATAATAAACGGCATTAAAAGTGAGCCTGTTTTGGTTCAATAGATTTGATACATCTAAGGTGTAAGCTTAGCATAATACCAAAAGCATATTGCATATTATGACATAAAGCCTATATTAACTGACATTCCAATAGCATTTAGTAAATTGCAATCAAAGATACAGAAACTTACTACCTGCATTGATACATGACACAGGTTTATCTATGGGTTCTATTATTGAACAAAAGCTGTAAGTTAAATCAGGTAATATATCCACCAATTCTATAATTTTCAAGTACATAATTTAGGTTTATTTATTTTAAATGAATGATACATTATAATGAAATATATTGTGCTTAATTATTGATTTTATTAGAACTTTTGAATGTTGAAACTTAATACTTCATTAAGCAGATTCAAAAAAGACATAGGTAAAGCTCGATTTGAATGCTCTTTTATAATTTATTGACATGGGTTACAATAGTTAATTCTTTACTTCAAGGGTACAATTTTTAATTTAGTCACAAAGTTGTATACCAAAAATACTTTAAAAATGGAGTCTTTAATAGTCATAAAATCTGTTGTTAATGCATGTCAACATGTCAAGGTATATAAGTTTTACTCAATTATTATTATTCATTAATATATTATTTATTATTAATATAAAAATTGTTTATGTTTCTTTTTAACATTTCAAACAAATCATATACATTTTAGATTTAAATAGGTATTTTTGATTTAACTACCTTGAATTCGGTGCTATTGTTATATTTCTGTAGGTAATATCTTTGTTTTATATTTGTAATACACAAACATAATTTACAACATACTTTTACAATACAATTGTAAATTTGTTTCTCACAAGTCACAATCATAACAATAATTTAATATTTATACTTTATTCTTTGTAATTATCAATATTTTCAAAAATTATTAAATTATTATTCAGTTGTGTAGACTTTATCCATCTGAAACTGATAGTGATGAAATAGATTTATGAACTGTTCACTGTTGTTCTTTGCCATCTAAAAAAAAAATATTAAATGACACTAGTAAAATAATGTTTATATTGTATAAAATAATATAACACCTCAATAGTTAAATAAAAAGTAATCAACCAATTAATTAATAAATATTGGTTTTAGTTTTCAATCAAAATTAATTATAGTCTCAACACATAGTTTGAGCCAGGGCCATACCTATAGAGAAGGGTGAGCAGGGCCAACTCCCTGGGCCGCTCTATTATAGATTCAAAATAAGTCAAGTTGGTGAACAACAAAAATCGTATTTAAATTGGGTTTCAAACTAGTTTCTTACAAAAAAAAGTATTACGCCCTGAGAAGAATAGTAGGTTTCTGTTAATTGTTTTTAAATTTAAAAATAAGAGAACATTTTGCAAGTAGGATCAAAACTCAATTTTCAAAATTAAAATTGTAGAAGCTTAATTATAAATTTGGATAATGCATAATATTTGTTATTTTCAAACGTATTTTTCTAGTACTATTTAAAGTAAAAAAAAATTTTAGCTTTTACCTGACCTAAAAAAAGTTATATGTTTCAAACAAAAATAAATTATCAAAATTTGACTTTTAAATAAGATGTGTTTTTCCTGTAAAGTTATTTTTGTTGATATAATACAGCGTGCAACTTAAAACATATAATTATTGTTTTAAAGCATCTACTGTTGAGTAACTAGTCCCCGTGCATTAGGTGTAGTCTAAACTTGAATGATTTATTATTCTCTATACATTAAAGACTAAAGAGAAAAATAAAAACATATCACAAGTATAACCATACAAACTTTTAAATATTGTGAAAGAGTAATTATTACTAATAAAATAAAACAATACATTAAAGTAATTTCAAGGCTATAGAACTTACATGTTGTCATGATCTGTTGTGAAGGTTTATATGTGATTCTTGTACATTAATATGTATAATATTGTATGACTTATGAAACCCTCAGGCACGGATTAATATACTATTTAATAGCCTAACCTATCTTATATACTATTAATCCGTGCCCTCAGGTAAAGCAAACTGATTAGATTTATAATTTAGATACCGGAAAACGTTAATTAACTTATTATATCTATAAGCCACAAAATTCAAAATAAATTAAAATAAATCGATGTATATTGTTTAATAGTGAGGATAAGCAGAGCCCTACTTAGGAGGGCTGCAGCCCCGGATCCCGACATAATTAGGGGCCTTCATATGTTACTGGAACACAGTCATATACATTTTATTAACACCAATCAACATCAAATAATTACTAAATTACTTAGAGATTAATGGTAACATTTATTTTGATGGGCTACACCAAATAATTAAACTGGGGCTCCAAAACTTTCAAGTAGAGCTATGAGAATAAGAGTGAAATGTGAGAATTAAAACGCACAGAAAAGTATATACAAATAAAAATAACATAAAAACATTTTAACATCTTAACTTGAAATTTGTTTTAGTACCCACAGAAATCCCAAACCACTGGTTAGTGATTACACATAATCATTAGTTATCAATGCTTACAAATTTTTGCTTATTGATATGGTAAATTTCTTTTGTTCTTACTTTTTACTTTTCAGGTTTTTTCCTATAGTTTTTGGTAAGTATCTAGAGCTGGACAGCTATTTAAAAATTCATTGAGTTGACCATTTAGGCGGAATCTTAATACAATTATTTATCGATCATTTTACATTTTCACAATAGTTCCATAGTGAAAACATAAGTACCTAGTATCTACATTAATTCACCATAAAAGCATAATTGTTCATCGTTACAGGTTTGGAGTTTGTCATTTGTCTAGTTTCTCTAGAGAAAAAATTTAGTTCCCAGTTAATTTCAAAAAGTTTTTTATGGTGCTATAATACTTTAAGTTCAATAGATTAATATATCGATGTATATTTGCCTAATATCTATTTATTATTGTTTCCCCAGACTTAAACTATGTTGTAATATTCATCCACTTTTATAAAATTAAATAATTGTTGCATAAAAAAAACTTATTAAGGTATAATAGGTATATTATAATGTATTACCTTTATATTCAAGCAACTACAGAAGAAAAACATTTCACTTAGATAATATATTCAATATATATATATAAACTAAGAATATAATTTAAACTTTCATAATCGTTCCTTTAACAGACCTATTTAATATTGTTTGGGACTCTGTGAATCTACAACACATTTGTAAAAGTACGAAATCCCGTCACTATAAAATATGTTGAACATCTAGAATGGGTATGTACAATAAGATTGCATACTGATCCATTTTTCCTGATAAAATGTCAACATTAATGCTCTCCTAAAGATACTGGTATAAACATATACTACATAATATACATTATCAAACATAATCATCACATGTATTAAACACGCAATAAAGATATTAATAACAATTTTCAAAATTATTTTTTTATTTTATTTGAATTAAGAAATGTTCTTTAAACAATAAGCTGTGATGGAGTATGAACTTAGATTATTATTTCTGAACAACACTAATTACTAAAATCTGTAACATAGTAAATAATTGAGGTAGATATATCATAAGCAAGCCTTGACTTATTTACTGTAATTCCTTTCAGCCCAATATATTGACGTATAGTCAAACATTTACATTCAATAATGAAATATAAATTTTATGAATTCTTCTATCATTGCCTATTTAAAAATGCACAAATCTAACTCACATTAAAAAGTATAATTGTAATGCATACAAATAAAAGTTCTTACCTTTAATAAATTAAACATATGTCAATACAACCATAGTAATTGTTATTCAGTTGGCAACCAATAAGGTTTTGTCCAAGAAGTATAAATTAAAAAATAAAAACAACACAAAATTACTATTATTATTATTTTATTATTAAAACTCATTTCATTATAAACAGTGTTGGACTGTTTTACATATTAGAAAAAAATCTGCGTTACATTCAACTTAAAAATGTTATTTGTATAATCAGATATGTCTTTAAATTATTGAATTTTATTTATATTAAGCTTCAGAAACAACATTATTATTTATTAGTTGGTAAGGTACAGTAATAAGTATTATCTCAAGACAGCTCCTGTTTTCATGTACATATTTTAGATAATCTAATGGTCTGAACTATAGTGGCACTGATGTAATATAACGACAAGTATAGACGTTTTTGTGTACGTATACCAAGCAATCTAAATACCCCCAGCCTTGGCACACAGACTTCTATCCCATAGTTAGTTAGACCATCGGATGGAAACACAAATGCCAAGGCTGTGGACATTTGCATTTAGACTGCATGGAATACGTACATAAAAACGGTTAATCTCGGAGTGAGGCTGTTACAGGACCAGGGTAATTGTATTTCTGAAGTACGCACACGAAAATGGAATTGTTTAGGATAAAATTACCATCACCACAGAAGAAGGTGAAAACGGATCAGTTTTGAGAGTGTGTATACACCGGCCAGTTTGGACGCCATCTTGAATTTTCTTCCGCCCATATTGACTGATGAATAGACTCACTGTAAACAAAAAATAAATATACACTATTAGTGACAAAATCGGTAGTTTTAATGAGCACCAAAAAAACATGATTACAAATAACGCAATCGAGAAAGTACAGATTTTCAACTGTATTGTCGATAGCAGTTCCACGGATAAACAAGAGAAAAAACGTGACTTACTTTTGAGTTTCAACAATGGCGTTCGACTCCGCATTTAACCAAAAATGTTCGACAATCCGGATTCCAGACCAAGGCAGTCGTTATACAATAATTAATTGTATAAAAACTACCCTGGTCTGACTGTCTGAGCCAATTGACAGGACAGACGGCAATGGACGGTGGGAGAGAAGCACCGAGCGTACGACGCGGTCTAGGCAAACGATGGAACAAAAAGAACGGCGGCGCTGCATACAATGTATATTGTGTAGTACCGCCGCACGGGCGTACGCAACCGCCGTCTACAGTCGACGGCCAATGGGCGTCGCCCGGCCGACATCCGACACGCGTCGATACCGTTCGCCGTTCGGCCAACGAGAACGACAATCCGGGGAAGATCGTCTTCCATGAACAAGCTCCTGGAGGAAGCTACGAAGTAGGCGAGCAGCGGAATAACACAAACAAACGGACAGCTGCAGTTGCAGCTGCCTCGCGCATCGTCCTCACCGCCCCGCCGTACAGTGAGTAGACGTACGGTTCGTGCTGTTCTGCGCTCATGGGGACACGGCGGAGTGAGTGAGAAAACATCTCGAGCGCTTGGTTCTTTCTCTTTTAGCCATTTCGTCCGCAGGTTTCTCTCTCTTAAGCCCCCCATTCACTCAAGCACAGAATAAATCAATAATTGAAAAAGTGAAAGTGGGAGAAGACGACGCTATTGTTGTAAACAAAAACAAAGTACGAATAGTTCTTTCTGTTTTACGCGTTCCCATATTGTTTTATGGTTTTTGATGTTGACGCCTTGACGGATTATTTTGACTGTTCATTTATTTATTTGAGTTTGTAATTGTTACAGACTTACAGTAATAATTCAATATCACTACAAAATCCATTAAACTTGAAGAATTCTCAACCTGCTCAGTAGCTACTTGTGTATACAATTTTAATGAACGGAAATCAAAGCAAGATGGGAAAGAAATATAATTGTTTAGGTAGGTGACAACTTAATGGTAATACAATAACATTTTGATTGGCCAGGTTAAGACAGATTTAAATATATTTTATTAAAATATGATTCTATCATCTATTAAAAAGGGATACATTTTTTCTACAATTTGGTTCATAATGTAAACAAAGTAATTACCATCTATCAAATTTAAAAACCTTTAGAAGAAAATTAAGTTTTTATTTTTTTATCTATGGGTTTTCAAAAAATGTAGAATCCCGAAAACTGGTTAATTGGAATCTTATTATATCTTGTATTTGTTCCAATAATTTCTGTGAAATGATTTTTTATGGGTGATTTTTTAGCAGAGCTCTTAGGTAATCATTTTTAAAAATTGTATTTATTTATAATTAGATGTCAGAATTAGATTCTCCAAAAATGTTTGACTTACAACAATGTAAGTGTATCATACAAAATTGAAAATATTATATTGATATTTTTTAATTATTTTCTTAAATTACATTTATATATCTATATGTATACAAATGACTCAATTTTTTATGGTTTATACATTTGTAAATAAATACAATTTAATCTGTTTTGAAAATAATAAATCTATGATGAACTTAGTTGGTTTTATTAGGTTTAAGACACGGGTTTAGAATTTAGAATTCTTTTTATGATTTTAATTAAAATAGGTATCATATTATTATTTCAAATTAATTAAAACTATTAATTTGAAGGATATAGGTAATTATTGTATAAAACAATCAGTTTAATAATATAAACTTTAATTAATTTATCTGTATTAACTATATTCTTAATTATTCTTTCATTTTAAAATAATATAATTTTTTGTGCGAAATAATTTTTTTCTATTTTATTCTATGATTTATAATTTGTAATGGCATCAAACTTTGAATTGACCCTAGTCATAATAGTTATCAAAATATTTTAATAACTGTTAAAATTGTATACAAATGTATTAGTACATTAAAATAAGATCCTGCAACCTAGACATTGTACTCGGATCCTATCAAAAAAACCTATATTTAATTAATCATATGAAACAAATAAAATTGTTCAATGTTATAAAAAAATTAAAATGTGATCCAATTATATAGGCTATTATTTTTGCTAACCATCCCAATTCATAACTTGTTTGTAACTAATGGTCTTTGTAGTAAGTTGATGTTATTTTTTCGAAATTAGTAAAAAAAAGATGTTTTAGGATCTATTCCAAAGAAGCTATTAAAATCTGATGCTCCTCCAACTCAAGAATTACTAATTGATCAAGATAAAATTAAAAGTAATTTGATATCTGCATCAGCTATAAGCCACCGTAGCAGAATGGAACATAAAGCCATAGAACGGGTAAAATATTTTATTATAACAAATATAAATTACTTCCTATATTCATAATTCTATATTTGAATATACTTCTGTAACTATTTATTATAAATTACATTCTTATTTTTAAATTTAAAAAATAATTTTATTACAGGCCCATGATCAAAATATAACAACTATAGAAGAGTCACAGACACATCCATCTACAGCGACACATACATCTAACCCTGAAACTCCTGAAGCTATACTTGAGGAGTGTGTTACACTGTTAAGAGATTATGAAGCTCTAACATATAAAAATGAAAAAATGGCACAAGAGTTGGTTCACTATCGAAATGCTAATGAATCTCTTCGTTTGGAATTACAAGCATTAAATCATAATATACTAAAACATGATTTATTGGCTAAAGAATCTAGTAAAAGAGCGAAAGCAGAGACTCGAAAATTGAAACTCATGCTAAGACGTGGAAGAGAATTTAAAATGGGCCACTTTTTTCCATCTGAATCATAATTAACTACAGTTAGGGTTTTGCTAATCCGGACAATCTATATTTTGTACTTTAGTACTTTTGCATAAAGTATATAATTATATTCAGGAATACCCATGATAAAGATATTATTATTTTGATTTCATAAGGTGTTTTTTGCTTATATTTATTAGTAAGTTTAAAAAAAAAACATCATTTTGTTGGGTCAGGATTAGCAAGACTACTGTATTATTGAAAAAATAAGTCTTTTTTTATTACATTTTTATAGATTTCTTTTAATAATTAATTATAATGCGCCTACATTAGAATAATAAATTATAGTGCACCTACATTAGAATAATAAATTATAATGCACCTAAATGTAGAATAATAAACTATAATGCACCTACATTAGAATATAAAATGAGCATTACATCACTCAACTTAATATCAAATTTTTAATATTAGAAAGTTATAGATTTTATTTTTTTATAAGTAAAAGTATAAATACACGCCTTGGAATAGAAATTTATATGATCACTATATCAATCAATTTTAAACATTGAAGAGCAATGATGAGTTAAATCACAACTATTGTCTATTAGTGGTTGTTTAATTTATCATTTATATTTTAATAAACGGCTCATTTTTAAGCCAGGAAATGGCTCATTTTTTATATAATTTCTCGAACATATAGATATATAAAAAGGAACAGAACGGAAATAAGGGACCTTGAAATTAATCAAGGATAGCAATTCAGATTTAAATGGTTAGTTATCTTAATTTGTTCATACCTCCTCATGGATTGTCGTTCGCTCTGTTTATTTTGTAGCTTAACCTTTAACACAATCCCAGAATAAATGAATGTCATACAAATAGCCACAGGGTGTGCCATGACACGTCTGGCACTACCTGTGCAAACCTATATATTCATATGTAACTTTGAAACATTTGGGACTTAAATTACCAAAGTTAAATAAATTAAGAAAAAGTAGGAAGGTGGATGTCGCTCTGCTGTACCGTAGATTGCAAGTGGGTCACTTTAATTTAACAAAGACTGTCTGTCAGCCTATAATATTACTAAATAGTTTAGTATATTTGATGATATTATTATGATTAGAGTACAGTAGAACCTCATTAATTCGGACTAATTGGGGCTCTAGGTTGTCCGAAATAATGAAAGTCCGGATTAAGCAAAATAATCAAAAATCGTAAATTATAAATTCAAAAAAAAATTTATTGGATAAAATGTATCATCAAGGGATTGATCTAGTGGCAACCGCATTCTTTTTACAACACTTGTTTCTTTATCTACATTAAATTTCAAAACAAATTTTCTTACATCATCTTTTTATACTTTGTTTTTGTGTTTATTTTAATCTACGGGATAAATTAGCGTAATTTAGTATTATAAACGGCTGTCCGGATTAAAGAGGTTTTACTGTAATTTATTTTACTATTAAACAGTATTTTGTAATGGTAACACAGTAGGTTAAATTCATTTTTGCCAAAAAGAATTACATTTGAAGTCATTGTGTGTATAAAATTTAACAATATACTGTATAAGTTAATAAAAAAAATGTGTTTATATATTTTTTAGATTTTTTATTTACAGAATTAACTATTTGTGTGCAACTTTGATTTAAATGTTTGACCCTAAGCTATAAAAGCTGAACATTTTATAAGTATTTAACTACAAAATAATTTGTACATTTTCAATTTGACAAATAAATAAATTTGAACTTAAAATTAAACTAAATTGTACCTATGTATTTTTAAAAATTTTCAACTAATATTGTAACAGTATGTCAGAGCCTTGCATTAAATTGTGCCGCCTTTTTGATCCAACAAATAAAGTTTATTGACATTTACAAAAAAAAACTACAAACATTTAAAATGTCAGTAAACAGCTTTAAATGAGTTAAAATATTTTGAAAATCTGATCAAGTATATGAATTGATAAAATAAACACATATGGTGTAAATTTCAAGTATTTACAGTTATTCGCAAAGCAGATCAATAATTCAAAAATTAGAACAGCATAAATAGTTTATATAATGATGTTGGGTACTTATGATTTCAATTGAAATGCTACATTTTGAATTTCGATAATGATTTCAATGTGGTTGGATGGATAAATATTGCCTTTGAGAATTCTCAGAATTCTGGGCAGTGTAATACAATGTGTTTATGGTTGCAATGGTTGAACATAATTATTTTATTGTGTTTGATTAGATGCTCTATATCAGAGGTTCTCAAACTATGGTACACGGAAGACTACACGCCAGCACGCGAAAGGCTACAAAGTGATAGAACGGAGAGTAAATAAATGAATATTTTAAATTGTGTTTGAACATAGTCACATAAGTCACAGATTAATAATGCACGTAATTGGAAAAGTTTGAGAACCGCTGTTCTATATGTCATAACTCATAATACATTGATTGTAGTATTAGTATATGTATCACTTGTATTTTTATCATTTTTAACCTTCTATTTCAATATATATATATGTTAATATTTTGAAATTTATTAGGCTCAACATAGTTTTTATGATAACTTAGTACTTTATATTTAAAAAATATGTTTTTCCCGATGCAAATGGCAAGATTAAAATATAAATACCAACACAATATGTATCACAATTAAAATTAATAAATAAATAGTCTTACAGGAAATAGATTTCATCAATTTAGAGTGATTGCATTATAAAATAATTATTTCAAAAAATTCATCATTAATGGTCAGAAAAAATATATATCTATAAGATATAAGACTTGCTGATAAAGTTTGACAATCTTACTGATGAGTTTCAAACATATTTTATTTTATAGGAAGATCGACGTCACAATTCACGTTGTATATGTTTCTCAAAATGGTTAACCATCATGATGAAAATCAAACATAAGTAAAGAGCTACTTTCAAGTAGCTGAAGGTTGACCAGATAGTAATGAGTTATATTTCAATACCGTAATTAGGTACATCAACATAAAATAAGTAGGTATTGATAAATGTATCAATTGAATGTAAAAATGTATGTTATTTAATATTTATGTCTTCTAGAATAAAGTATAGGCATATCAATGTCTATGGACACTATATATTATATATAGTGTTATTTTACTTTAAAGAAATCATATGTGATAATCTTTTTTGAATGAATTCTATTATATTGATTTTTTCACTATAAAATGGATGATTAACAATAAATGCATATTTCAAAATAAACTTTACTAAACTACCAAACCAAACTATTGTATTTCAGAATATAATATACTTAAAAAATATCCTCCGATTTAAATCAATACAAGCCTAACTGCACATTTTTAAGATAAATAAATAGTGATTTTAAATTTTTAATACATCATCTTGTTATGTTGGTTCAAAAATAATCAATACTTACTCATTACCAACACAATATTTAGTAGTAAATGCAACATTTTCTGAACGTCCATTGTCTGTTTGAAGATCAGAAGATTTGAATGTGATTGTTGCAATGGGATCTCAACCTTTTTTTATTTCATTTCTTCCTTAGCTACTAGTATTCAACACTTTGTTGCTCTAGGTAATAACCCGTGATAACTTAAGTATTTCCAAAAACTACTATAAAGTTCAAAAATTCAATACAATTTCTTTTTTATCACCTATTTTTAATCTAGCAACTGTACAATCTGTTGAGCATTTGCCACTAGAAGCACACGTGATGTTGTGGATTATATTAATTATATTTATATTTCCGACGGGGGGCTTGTGTGAAGTGGTCATACACTGATGGAACTTCATAAGATACAAATAAAAATATTTATTAGATGTATTTATAAAATGAAAATGCTATAATATATAATCACAGAATAGTCCGAATACGACATAATAATATTCATGAACCAAGATATCTTGAATCTGCTGAGCGTAAAATTTGCCATGTTACGTATTTGTTAGACGGAGACAACAAATTCCGGTGTAACATCCTCTTTGACAAAATAAAATAAATAGTAACCGAACATCCAGTGGCGTATACAGCTATTTTCAATGGGGGGGGGGGGGATTACATATAAAAAATTATATACTTATATATATTATACATTGATAAATAAAAATAATATGTTGCTTAACTAATATTTATTTTCATTATAAAACAATGTCTATTTTTCTGGGTTTTTGTCCCAACTCATCAATGACTTCTTCAGGAGTTAAATTTATATCACGGTATACCGACAACATGGTCAATCCATTTAATCTGTCCTGTGTAATTATTTTTCAGTTTAAAATATAATGTTATAATATAATGGAGTATAATTTGGAATATCCCATATCTAATAATAATTATTATTGAATAATAACTTCGGTTACGACGATCTTCTCGCCGTACATTTTTAATCAAAACTCGATTGTGACGGTAACACTGAAATTCCCTTAATTTAATTTTGCAGTATTTATTTTTATTAGTACTATTAATTTTTTTTTTAAATTGTCATCATTTTTATTATACATTTTTACGTAATTACGTAAACTGAAAAAATACTAAAGGAGGGGGGGTTGAACACACCCCCCCCCCGTGTGTGTACGCCACTGCAAACCTCCTCCACCTAATGATTTTTATTTTTTATACGTACAATTTTAAATTAACAAGAAGCTACGGTTATTATAATCTATGGGCCAAGTGAACTATTTGAATGGTGTTTTAAATAATTCTAAAAAAAAAGAAATCATTTTCTGTTCGAATTTCAGTCATGTACTCCATTATTTATATTTTATCGTCGCTGCCGCCCGAGATCGATGTATAAAATATTATTATTTATTATTATTATTATTACTGTTGTAGTTGTTGTTGTGACTTGTGGTCATCGTTCGTCCTCGCGCCGCATGAAAATATTGTAATATAATAATATTAGGCGCGGTCGGCGGCAATCGATGCACACGAACACGTACCGCTCGGCGGCGGCGCAGAAAACGGACGGTTCAAGGACCAGGGGCGTTGCGCGACGTCGGAGCAAGAGAACAAAATACGGGCAACAGCCAACAGCGCGCTGCCAGATGCGGCAGCGTCGGTACTCGGTACGGATTACGGAACGTTTGTTCAGCGAATGGGCGGATCGCGCGCCGTTCAATGTCGGTACCTGACGGCCCAGTGGTGAGGTGTGGTGTGCTCCGGAATTGCCGCTCACGATGTTGACGAGGGCCTCGAGTGAGATTTCGTGTTTCTGCCCTAGGCCCTGGGGGCGCAACTTGGGCACTAGCCAAGAATTAAGAATTAAGAAAAAATTAATATTGTATTAATATTTGTGACTGTAGCGCGCACACGGCGTTGGTCGCGAGTAGAACGCCGCCGTGCGTAGTTCGTCCGAGCTGCCAGTACCATTTGGTGGCGCCCCTATAGCCGCGGTCGAAAACCCAGCCAGCCACGATAATAAGATTATAGTCTTTAGTCATTATGCATTTAATATTTGTGCGCTCCGCATATGAATTTTAATGACTACGAGGACAATATAAATATAACAATCATAATATTAGAAAAAAATTATAAAAGTTATTACTTATTTTTGAATGCGCGTCTAGGTGGTCACGAAAACCCAGAGCTCTGAAAAATAATATATATTATTCTATTTATTTTTAATTGATCTTACCAGGACACAATTTTTAAGCGTTCAATGTTCATATAATTAATATTGAATTTTTTACATAAACTAAATACATTTTATTTGTTGGCACACGTTTTTATAATCTTTTTCCGTTTATCATAAATTCCGATGATCAAAAATTAAAAAGGTATACAACCTATTATATAGGTAGCCTATTTAACATACAACCTGTAACCTTTTATACATTTTTTATACTACTATTTAAAAAAATGACGACATTGTATGTTTTAATATTTCAATTTCTTTTTTTCCACATCATACCTTTATATTTTACTTACTATTTCAATTATTATATTCCATAAATCTATTTTAAAAAATGACAATTTAACTTAATTTTGTAATAATAACAATTGAATCACTTGGTTCTATGACTTATATTATTTTACTATTTTAACGAATTCAATTGTTTTTTCTTCTAATAAATGCATAATTAGGTTATATTGTTCATTATAGAAGACAGTGTTTGAATTGTTTAAAACAGTAGGTAGGCTAAATCAACATAAATCAATTTTCGATGGAATCGATAGCCGGCGGAATTCATATTGAAACGACGGAATCGATAAAACCTCTTATTTCTTTTAATAAGTACTAGGTACCAAAGTACCGAATCATTATTCCCAAGTAGTCGGTAGATACTTTATAGCAGGGATGGCAAATCCATGGCATGCGTGCCCGAGATGGCATGCGAAAAGATTTTGTGGGCACTCGNGTTAGCTGGCAGTCACCTGGCATTTGTTCAAGCATTATTTGAACTTTGAACATCAACGAAAAGTAATAGATGATTATATTTTGTATTATTTAAAAAAATAGTGCAACCCACCAAAAGTATAATCGCGACCCACTTTTGGGTCGCGACCCACAGTTTGGGAACCTCTGTTTTAGGGCATTTTTTGAGTTTTTGGAAACCAAGTGTATAAATTTGAAATTTTATTTTAAGATTTTAAGATTTTTACACCAACAAGGTTTTTAAATAAAAATAACAGCTTATAAGTAGGTACTCGTAATTCGTATTATATTATCAGACAATCAACTTTTTTTTTAGATTTATACTAAAACTATGTATTTACAGTTTACACTTGTAATAAATTTTTATAATGCATTTTTTAATACTTTTTATTGTAATTTATACTAAAATTATTAAAAATAAAAAAATTTGTAAATCATAAAAGCATTTTTTTATGGCATTTTTCGGGGTTTTTTAGGGCATTAAAATCCCAGCCCTAGTGATATCACACCAAACCTGAGTTTTGATGGTGATATTTTTTTTTTTTTTAATGGGTAAATAATGGGTAAATGACTCTCCGTAATATGAGCCATTGGGTTAACAAATAATTTAATAGTACCGAATCATTATTCCCAAGTAGTCGGTAGATACTTTATAGCAGGGATGGCAAATCCATGGCATGCGTGCCCGAGATGGCATGCGAAAAGATTTTGTGGGCACTCGAAAATTTTTACTATTATATATTATATAAATATATAATATATAATATTAAAGATAATAGGTAAAAAGCATAGGTATGGCTTTTATCGGTCATTATCGATTAACTGATGAATGCAGTGCTGCATGTATAGTTTATTGAAAGATACTAATTATTAAACAAATTGGCATCAAGTGTTCAATAACAAAAATCACATCAAAATAAATAATTAACAAAGCAATATTATTACAATTATAATATACCTAAACTAACCTTTTTATACTAATACATTAATTATACAATCAAATTATAGTATAACAAAATATAATATTTTTAATATTTTTTTTCATGACACTCTCTAAAAAAAAAAGGTAATTTTGGGTACGCAGTGTTCAAAATGTTTGCCATCCCTGCTATATAGTTATTAGGAACATACTTATCTATTAATGCTATACTTTATAATTTAATATTTATTATATAGACCTAATAGCGAAGTTTATTAGTGATGAATTTATAGCTGAATCAAATAAACGAAAAATTGCCTACATAGAAATAGAAGAAAAATTTGGATTTTTGTTCAATAATAATCTTGATAGAAATAAAATTAACAACCAAATAAAAAATTTACAATCAATGTATACAAATGAACTATATTTGGATCCCGATCATTTTGCAGATGAATGGTTTCAATTTCATAGTTTAATTTCTTCTCATCAAATATCAAGAAATCACGCTGCCTAATTTAAATTCATTAAAGATATGCATATCACATGCATTTCAAAATTGGGAAACATGTCATCAAATTTTTCTTACGATGCCTGCTACAAATTGCTCCAGTGAACGATCATTTTCTTCATTAAAAAGAATTAAAAATAGATTACAATCTACATTGAGTCAAGAAAATTTAGACGGTCTGACAATATTATCTATTGAAAGTGATATCTAGGGCTGGGATTTCGATGCACTTTGCATTGTTTTTCAAAGCTTACTGTGCAGTGCTCGTCTTGTCACAAATTTATTTTATGTACATTTGAATGAGAATAAGAAAGTTTATTTTGCATTTTTTTGCATTTTTTTAGTTTTCAGGTCATTTGCTTAATTTTTTAGGGCAGAGGTTCCCAAACTTCTTATTGTGCGACCCATTTTGAAATTTTTTTAAAATATGGCGACCCACAATATCAATGAATGACCTTTTTTTTTTTTACCATACAACAGAAAATTAAACTATTTTATTACATTTTATGTAATTACGAAAAAAATGTATAATAAGTATAATATATAGTATTTGACACGGCCGCTGGTAAACTCGTAATTGTCATACTCACAGATAAGGATTGACGATAAAACTGAATTTGAACTTTGAACATCAACGAAAAGTAATAGATGATTATATTTTGTATTATTTAAAAAAATAGTGCGACCCACCAAAAGTATAATCGCGACCCACTTTTGGGTCGCGACCCACAGTTTGGGAACCTCTGTTTTAGGGCATTTTTTGAGTTTTTGGAAACCAAGTGTATAAATTTGAAATTTTATTTTAAGATTTTAAGATTTTTACACCAACAAGGTTTTTAAATAAAAATAACAGCTTATAAGTAGGTACTCGTAATTCGTATTATATTATCAGACAATCAACTTTTTTTTTAGATTTATACTAAAACTATGTATTTACAGTTTACACTTGTAATAAATTTTTATAATGCATTTTTTAATACTTTTTATTGTAATTTATACTAAAATTATTAAAAATAAAAAAATTTGTAAATCATAAAAGCATTTTTTTATGGCATTTTTCGGGGTTTTTTAGGGCATTAAAATCCCAGCCCTAGTGATATCACACCAAACCTGAGTTTTGATGGTGATATTTTTTTTTTTTTTAATGGGTAAATAATGGGTAAATGACTCTCCGTAATATGAGCCATTGGGTTAACAAATAATTTAATTGACTACATACATTCTCGTCTACTTTCTCTACATTAATTTGTACTTGTAGGTTTTATTATATTATTTGATAACAATAGGTGTAAGTAACACTAAACATTGTTTTTCATTAATCATATAAAATATTTATGTAATTTCTAATTATATATAATACTATTAAAACTTTAGAAAACCATAATTTATGAAATAGAAATAAAATATAAAAGTGTATTAAACATAAAATACCTTCCTTAGTTAGGTTGGTAGGTATAATTAAATTTCGCCTAAGTTATTATAGTATATTTAGGTATTTTATTAATTAACTTTAAAGAAAAAGAAAATTACATATAGTATAAGTCATTAAAAAATAACTAACCAAGAATAATAAACCAATTAAAAGTAATTTTGTTTTGGTGCCTTTTTTTCTGAATACGTAAAGCAGAGTACCTATCTATACTCTATTTGGAATGAGATCATACCTCGGCGGTGACCAGTTTTTGTCGTCCGCAACGATCAGACGCTTCCACCACCTAGAAAGCCTGTGAGACTAGCACTGCGGAACGAAACCACGTCTGTGCGCAAAAGTCGGCCACCGAGGTACGGTCTTATTCCAAATAGAGTATACTTGTTTGACCCTTTTAAATAAATTTATATCACAAATGAAAATGCACTGTATTTTTTTTTTTAAGTATAAATGTATAAACATTAAACTATAACATACCTAGATTAGCATAAATACAAAATGTATTTATTTATAAGCTGCAAATTGTTACAAATATTTATTACCTAACATAACTATTAACAATTACTTTGCAAGATTTTCAAAATATTAAGAAAGTATATAAAAAATATGTCAATAACTTAAGTTAATACAATAGTAATATAGAACTAAAACAATTTATTCAATTTATGTTTTAAAGCCTCACCTCTCTCTTTGTCACATAGTTGTTTTTCTATTGTGGTCATATAAATACAAAGATTATTAATTTTTAATACTTTCACCACTGGGGGTTATAATTTTAAACAATTTTGGTGGTGTAATGCCGTTTCTGTTAAGCAAGTAAACATGATATTTCTTAGGAACATATAAATGCCATGTATACTTGCTAAACATAACCAGCTATTCTAGGTTAGAAGCTTCTTGCATTTTTCTGATGTCTGATGTTAGCTGGCAGTCACCTGGCATTTGTTCAAGCATTTTGTACTTAATAGATTTTTTCCCAAAACTTCATCGCTAAAAGCATGATATGAAATATTAATATTTAAACAATTTTTATCACATTGTTATTCTATTAATTACAATAATATAATTAAAAAAATGTAGATATAGATAAATATAATTAATTGGCCTTTTGATAATACAGAAAAATATAAATGCATTATCAATAGCAAGAGGGAGTTTTATTGCAATGAACAAAAAGAGTCTATATAGCATATAAGCAAAAAGGCCTACATCTACTTGTGTTGTCTCTATCTTACAACAAATGCTTAATATGCCAAATCTACATACAGGATTCTTACTACAGTTTATGTATAGTTAAAGCAAATATACATAATATTGAATCTGTAGTCATTATTAACTGAGTATGGGGATAGTTTTTTTGCATTTTTATTTTAAAATGAGTTACACGTAGCTACTTACATAATTCATTTTTTCAAATTCATATTACTTGTTATAAAATAAAATACTTAATAAAAAAGCTAATATTCTCCCCCAAAATTGCAGGAGTATGTAAATTTTCTGTAACATTAACTATAAATATACAATAGTAAGAATATTGTACATATGTAGATTGTTATGTTAAGTGTATGCAAGACAGGCACAACCATACCGGTGACAGGAGTAAAAGGTGGGGGGCAAATTTATTAGGGAGGCAATTTTTCTACCTGCATATTTATTAAACTTGATAAAAATTTAAAAAAAGAATAACTATATATTATAGTATACACAATACACATTGTATATTTGTATTATAAAATTTAGAATTTTGTAATTTGTTCTAAAGTAATGTCAGCCGTTATATTATACTTAACAAAACATGAAATAATTTGAAAAGAATATGTTATTTATAAATTATTTACACAATACACATACAAAATTGGCAGCATAATAATTTCAGGTTTGTTATGTTATAACTAATTCTTAAGGAAATATCAATTAAAATGATTAGATCTATTAATTTTGGTTCAATCATTGTAGTTTCAAATGTTGCTTTGGCATTCGTGTAGCAGGTGATCTACTAACTCGTTTTGGGTGTATCAGGTGATCTATCGTATTATACCAAGCACGTTTAAAATTCAGAAATGTCGGACGGTTTTTCGATGAGCCTTAAGATTCCCTTCTGTTTGTTCTGTGATTATACTAGGTGTAGTTGGTTATCTACAATTATTATTACCTATTATTATATTATATTATATTATTCTAGGTGAGATATAAATTTGTTTTATGTCGAGATAGAGCTACACTTATTCCAATTATTGAAAAAGAAACACTTCCAGCCTACAGGAACAATAATCATGTCAGACAAATGGAAACCCCATAAAGTTTTACAAAATCAAGGTTATAACCACTTGACAGTAAACCATTCTGAACATTTTGTCGACCCACTAACAGGAGCCAACACCCAGACAGTAGAATGCATTTAGTCACATCTTAAAATGAAAATACTTCAAAAATGCATTGCACTACAAAAGAACTATTAGATCGTCATCTGATTGAAGCATGGTGGAGATCAGTTCATGTTCAAGATAATTTTTTTAAATGTTTAAATGATACCAAAAATGTTTACTGTAATTGAAATTTGTATTATATTTGGCAAATTATTCTTTTCTTTTATTATGTTTGTTGGATATTTGTATGATAATATTATGACGTAGGTAATAAAAAATATTATGTGTTTTTATACTATTAAAAAAAATATTTTTTTAATTTGTACGTAGATCACTCATCCTAAATTCACAGATCACTCGACTGCAGTAGATCACCTGCTACACGATTGCCATTGCTTTTTAAGTACAAACTTTGATCTTTTTTCAGCAGCTCTTTGTAATAGATCTACTATTTATCTGCTTTGCTTGAGATTTAGTGGTAATAAATTCTACAGATATTTCTACCGCCATAGTTTGAAAATTTTGCTGAGATTGGGTTCAATCTAAAAACTAACATATCCAAAAATCAATTACACGTTACCCTCAAATGTGTTTTTGATAAAATAAATTCTCACTCATAAAATTAATTCACATTCTGTTTTATCATTGCCTAAAACTCTTCTATTAGCTCCTTAAATTTATTTTCTTTAATTATGTCGTTGCTTCCAATGGCGACCATTGGTAGGTTGTTGATTTTGATGAACTATGATCTGTAATTGAGATTTCACTGTTGTTACTGAGTACTGACTGAATGGTTGCTTAATGGCTAATGCTTACTTTTCGTCTTCCGAGAGGTGTAGTGTTCAGGTGAAATTGTGTATTTGTGTGCCTTTGGGTCATTTTATTGTACAATATCTTATTGGTGATTAAGCAAGACATTTTATGAAAAAGTTTGAACATAATATGTTGTAAAAACATGTATAGTAATATTATATAAAAAAAACTTCATCAAGATCAAATAACAATTTCATAATAGTCCCGATAAAGTGCTCCGACAATTAGTCAAACAGAACCGCTGTTCCGTAGAAGCTCTGTCTAATTCAAGCACTTTTATTGGTCGTATGATAAGGACAAAAATATAGTTTATCAAACGAGTTGCGACCATACATATTTTATACAAGTTGTATATACATATTATCTCTGGTAGCGACTAGCGACCGTGATAGCAGCAAAATATATAATATTAAATAAAAATAAAAATAAATCAATATTGTAAGTTATAACATGGCCATGATTTGTAATGACTAATGACTGAAGATATATGGCTATATAGAGTGTAGACATATTCTGATATAACCAAGTCAAAAGTCCAAACGTTCAACATCTAGTAATAAGTCTTATTTTAATATTAATGTTTATTTGGAATTTATAAAATTTAATTTTTTTAGTTTGTGGTATACCTATTCATGTCTGTGAAATTCAATGTAATATACTTCGCAGTTCGCATCAATAATCTGGAATGTTTTATTAAAATGTGAGAAACAATTAGTTCAATTCGACAATGTTTGAGAATTAATGAGAAATATCAATATGTTAGTTTCTAACTATGTGAAATTATAATAGATGTTTGCATTCAAACGTCTAAAACCCAATATTCATTAACTAACTGTTCTTTCTATACTCGTTTTTAGGTGAATAAAGTTAAAGCTGAACAATCTTACATTGAAAATCAAAAGGATAGATTTTCAAGTGGACACCATTACTGCTGAAAATATAGATAACCCATCAGATGTATTAGTTAGAGCTGCCAAGAATCAATTTCAATTTAAGCGATGATCTGTGTATCTGATGATGAGTCAGTAAAGTGTAAGTTTTTTCTGTATAATATCCATGTTTATTGTCATAATATTTAATTTGTATAAATGTATATCATACAAGTTGGACAGTGTATAGTTTATATCTTCAGTTCTGAGTGTAGTGAATAATGTAAAAATAATTTATTATTCCAGCTTAGGTACCTTACCAGTGGTCAAAGTACTATTGTTGCTATAATTTTAGGTGTGTCGTGTGTGCACAAGGACAGCAGGGTGTGCACTTGCTGCCTCTGGCCCGAAAGAGACAGTCGAGACAAATTAAATGCAATTTAATTTGCAAAGTATGTTATGCGTAAATTTTAAATATATATATTTTTTTATTACTTTCAAGCCTCAACAACTAAGGTTATTAGCTCACATATTTACAATATTAAAATATGATTAATCTTAGTATGCACAATGCAGAAAAAGAAAAAGACATACAATGATATAAGGTTAGTTTGGTTATTTTTAAAAAAGTTAGAATATTGTTGGGATTTAATAATCAGGTTCAAGTGCTTTATATAGGTGCTTAGGTATATTTAATGAGGTTCTAATGTCTACATAATTGCTGCAGTATAGAAGAACTTCACAGTTAGAGCTTCACCGCAGGTAGTACATTGGATAGGTTCTTCGTGTTTCATGAGCACACAATATGTGTGAATTATATTATAGTATTGATAGTAAAAGGTAGACAATAAGTTAAGTCATTTTAGTTATAGTTGGAAATTGCATTGGGCCTTAGCATATCTGTAGTATTTCACATATAGCTATCGTATTAAACTGAATGAATACGAGATAAAATAATATAATATTTCATAAAGTCTGTGGAGAAGTAATACATATAAGTAATACATCATATGACAAAAAAAGCTATTTTCACGCGACATTAAAATATGATTACAAGATTAATTTTTCCTTACACTAGATTAAATTTTTTATACAATATTTTTAAAAATTGTTTTTGATTGTTACATTGTGTTATTTTAAGGAAAATATGTTTGTTTAAAATAGACTTTTTTATGAAATAAAAATCATAAAACCGATTTTTTAAAGATAAAATGTATTTATTTTTCACTGACAATAAGTAATAGTTTTATTATAAGATATGATATTTATTTTACATAGAGATTATAAACTTTTAACTAAATGGTCTCGGTAGAGCAATTTTATGAAAAAAGAGCATGTCAAATTTTTTGCTGCATCAACCTATGGATATATTAAAGAGCTTTCATCAAACTGTCAACATCCTGTACTTGATAATCTGCTGTATACATCTATTTTTGGATAAAATATTATTTTTTTAGTTTTTTTTTACATGTATTTTTGGTAATTCAATAATTTCTGAATATAATTCAAAATATATCCTTCTCTTCTAAACATTAAAAAAATTAAAATTAAAAATAAAATTTATTAAAAAAGTTTGACAGTTTTCATAAAATACTAGTCAACATTTTCATTCATTTTTGGCATAACCGTGATTTAACAACATTGGTAAAAATCACTTAAGTTTATACGTTTAACAAAGATTAAACTTCTTTTCTAAAACAACGTTGACTTGTAAGTTGTAGCATAATATTCTTTTTTACTTAGTGAATATTTATAATGTAAATAATTAACATTTTAGGTAATTATTGATCAACTGCCATATAAAATAAAAATGTGTTGTAATAGTTACATTATAACGTTTAATACCAATGATTAAATAAACAGAATTTTAAAATAAGAAATATTTGAAATTTTATAAATGAAAGAATGGATTATTGGTTCTTAAAAGGTTAAAATATGATTGCTCTAAAAAAACAACCTTAAAATATCCTTTTTTTTCTTCAAATAATTTAAAGATCTGTATACTAGTTACAATAGGAACATAATATAATGTAAATTATTACATTACATTTGTTAGCATTAAACTAAATAAATTTAAAATATTTGCATTTACCATCCATTTATTAATGGAACACAGTGTAATAATATTCTTAAACTTGAAAATAATTATTACTTAGGTACCTTTTCTTTGGTAAATTATTCAAGTTCAGTCACATTTGAAACAATCAAACAAATTAAACAATTTCCAATTTAATAACAAACAAGTATTGAAAAATTTCTATCATTTTTAAATTAAAAACAATTTTTTTGTGTGGCAAAATATTTTCAACTTAAGAAATGAACAAATTTGATTTTTTTATGAACAAATAATTCAATTTATTATTAATCATAAAATAAAGGATGACAATTCTTAAATCCTCAAAATATGCTTTAAAATGTAAAATAAATTTTTTCGCCACGGTTGAGTTGCAAAAGATAATAAGCATATGTAAAAATCTAAAAACCTAAGAATCCACTCTCATAATTCATAATACATAGTGCATATATTCAGCTAGTGTTATTTAGTGCACTTTATATATCAGGTAACTCTATTTCAAGGAAGCACTAGCTTCATTATAGAAAAATACTACTTGTATTAACAAGGTATTTATCCGTTATCAAAAGATGAGTGAAAAGGTCTAAGATTTGCCTAAGACACCCACATAAAATATATTATATAAAATTCAAAATTAAATATCTATTAAGATTAATGATATTATTTTATAAAGAAAACTAAAAAACCATTTTGTGAATACTTAAATAATTATAAATTTAATGAAAATACTATCAAACTGTTTCCCCCATTTTAAATTTGTGTATATTAAGTTGCGTTTTATTAGGTTTCATGGGAGCCATACTATTGCATTGAAACCTTAAAGTATGTCACATTTGCATTGCTCGGCATCTTTTAATTGCTTAAATTATTCAAAGAAATTTCACCACAGTCATAGCTCTGGTAATTATTTATCAAAAATATTGTCACCAAATTATGACAAAAAATTGAAAGTTAGGTCGAATCTTTTATTTATTTCTTATATTAGTCTTAAATTTATACATGTATTAATATTATATTTTAATATATATATATCTATTTTATATTTGTATTTATATTAGTTAAACCCAATGCACGATATTCCAAACTATAAATGATATCATCTTCATATTAAATACTACATTTTTCACTATTCATTATAATAGATTAATCTTTATCTTTACCTACTTAATTAAAAGTTTAAAAATTTCACATGTTTTTCATAACCTATAGATTTAACTATTTGGATATTGAAGTATTTTATTAGAATTGCTATGTATTTTATTTAACACTTCACCACCACAGTTTAATATTGAGTTGACTTAAGAAAAACTGCCAAGTAAAATGAATATACCTACAATAAACATTGATAAAATCTAGTGGCCCAATTTTTAAGCCAAGTACATTAATCGATTGGTAAAGAGTGTTAAGGCAAAATAACAATATTATCATAATATTATTAGAATCATAGATCTATAACTATAACTATAACTATATACTTATATATCCTTGGTTTGACTAGAACAGTGTCAAATAAATAAGCAAATGTTATGAAACAAAAAATACATTTAATTGTGGAGTTTATGTTATATTATTATATATTATATATATTTTATTATTATTTACGATGCATTTACATTTATAGATGATTCTTATTACAGATTGAAGTTTGATATTAACATTTACAGGGAATATTTAAAGACCTATCTCATACATAGTACGGAAGACCTTAGTTAAGCAGCATTGTCATCAGGAAGATAAATGTGTTTAATGGCTGTCAACATTATCATTTCTCTGTGTTGTCGCTGAATGCTGGATAGCCATAAATAGAATTCCAAGAGAAGACAGAATTTTTAATTTAGCTATTAATGATTTTTTTTTGTGTATTGGGTCAGTAATTATTAAATTAAAATAAATTATTTAAGTACTAAATATAGAGTTTAGGAAGTTAAACAAGTTTAGTATATCTGTATAGGTTAAGTTAACCTATTAATATTGTTGTTTATAATTTTTTATAATATAACCTCAGTGTTTATAAAAAAAATTTTCTTCTTAATTAAATCATACCACAGCTTATTACTTCGCAAAATGATAATTCAATTACTCTAATTTACTTAAAAAACATGAATAAAGCTTGACTACTGAAACGTCCAAAACATTAGGTGCCCAAGTGCCAAGTCATAATAATGTCAAAAATGATAATTATTAATGTCTGGTAATAGGATGTAATAGGATGTAAGGATATTCAATAAAGAATACGATTAACACTGAAAAATTATATTTAAATAATAATTATAATAATATGCCTAGTAATTAAAAATTTAATTTAATATTCAAAGTTTATGTCACAAATTGTAGATAACTTTTAAAAAGATCTACTATAATATAAAAAAAATATCTACAGAACAGACATCACAGTATTATATGTTATAGAATCAGTGGTTGAAGTGGCTCAAAATAAGTGGAGGAACGCTCTTCATAACTTATATAGTTCTCATGTATCGCTTAAACCGTCTTACAAAATAAGTGGTGGGATGGAAAATTTGAATTATTCAAAAAGGAGGGAGCCATGCCGCCGTAACACCCTCTCACTTCGTCCATTGTATAGAAAAGGGCAGGGTAACTGGCACTAAGTTAACAACAGCTGTGACCGGGCGGCTGGGCTGTGGCCAATTGTCGTAGGGGTGACAACATTTCTCATTTACCTTGTTTAATCTACTGTCTACCCTTCGACCAACGAGTAGTTAAGTTGTACCAGTTAGGTTGTCTGCCCAAAGGGCAAGTATGCTTTAAACCTTAAGACCCTGAAAATAGAAAAAAAATCAAAACTTGGCAGTAAAGAATAGTAGTGCGTATGCATCAATACGGAGAATCTCTAATTTTGGAAAGATATAACTTCAAAAAATAATGATTTGCACCACCGTTTTTTAACTCATTAAAGTACATATGTTTCAAAAAAAATCGAGTATTAGCTAAACTGCAATAATTAATTCGAAAATTCTAATGTAGATACTTACCTAATAAATGGTCTCGATTAAGAACTTATTGTTTTTCGGAAAGCTACTATTAAATCATTTTTACAGGAAGGGAATTTTCTTTTTCTTAATCTTGTCAAACAATTTACTAGGAGCACACCGTGTTCTGAAGGACGTTCGTCCTTAGAACATGATAAAGTCCTAAAAAGTGTTATTAATTGTAATAGGTACTATAAGCAATCAATATTCAATTTATATAGAATTGTATAGCATAACAATAAACATAATGTTATTAATTAACCTAATCTAACAGTCACAGCTGTAGTAGAATACACATCATTAGTAAACAAAGTTTAATTATGGACATGTTTTATGTAGGCAAACAATTAATGTAAACACTTATTTGATTAATGTAAATTTATTTAGTAGGTATATTTAATAAATAATAACTAATACTTGAATAGGTACCCAGTATTAAAATTTAAAATAATGTTTTGTTATATTATGAAGTATCTACCTATACTCATTTAGGTACTCAAAGGTAGGTAGGTATCTATCATGTCACTTGTGTCTGATAACCTGGGACTACTACTAGAACCTAGATAGGACTATAGGAGTATATAAGACCTATCTACTACAATTTTTATAACATAATATAATATTATTGTTTTACTAAAATGTATTGTCTCTGTCTGATTATGTATTAGGTAACACATAACATAGATTTAAAATTTATTTTTGGGAAGTCAGGAAAACCTATTTTACTCTGTTATTTTTATTATTACAATGAATTGACTGGGTACCAATTATGGCATAATATTATTGGTTGTCATCAATAGGTAGGTACGCGAATTACGCATTTCTTGGATTTTTATTTATTTACCTATCTACAATCTACATATGTAGATTAGTAAAATAAAGTCTTACATCAGATTTATTTACATGCGTGTTGACGTGTTGACGAATAATGGTTATAGCCTACAG